TCCATGTGGAGGCAGGGCTTATAAGGCTGAATTCACCTGAAACTCAGACTGAAGAAGTCTCTTGGAGGAGGGACGAAACGTTTCACTAAAGAACCCATCCAGAGGACCTACTTATTTTTKMTTTTTGATTTTTTTTCTACCTGGATTACTGAGATGCATCAGGACACAATAAAGTACCAATAATCTGAGCATGTGACACAAATTTAGTTTTGACCAGTTAAAATAATTAAAGAGAAGAATTTTTAATGACCTGAAGGAAAAACAAAGAAACCAGTTTGAGTTTATCCTCCTACCTGATTCCAGCTGCGTGTATCGGACTCTGCAGGTGCCAGCGCTGGTGATGGTGGTGAAGAGGGGCGGGGGAGGACGGATGATGGTGGTGAAGAGGGGCGGGGGAGGACGGGTGATGAGGGTGAGAGTAGGTGCAAGCAGAGAGGCAGCATGGGCAGGATGTAGCGGTGCCTTGGTGGGGGTCAGAGGTGGGGTTCTGGAAGAGTGGGCACTCCGACTGACCGCAGGGGCAGCACAGGGTGGAGTGGAAATGGCAGTGGGGGCAGAGTGGAGGAGAGGAAGATGATGGGGACAGCTTGGAGGGGACGTGACGCCTGCCAGGTTTTTGGGGGTCTTTAACAGCAGGGGAGGGAGAAGCTGCTGACGGCGGGGGGAGATTCCTCGGGGAGCCATTCTGTTGGAGAACTCCGCCGTTCGGACTCGGCCCGTTTTCTTTCTCGATGTGTGATCTGTGCAGATGAACTCCTGTGTCTTCATCTCCTTCTGCTGGGAGAGGGTCCTGGCTGCTGCAGGACGGGGGGTTTCCACCAGTGCTTACAGGACAGGGACCTCCATTGCTGCGAGACAGAAGGTCATCGCCGGCATCGGCCATCATCCTTTCACAGAGGGCCTGGAACTGACAGTCACTCCTCTGAAAGAAAAAGAAAAAAACATGTCTAAGATAAAAAAAAATCTTTGTTTGCTTTATTCAGAAGAAAAACAAATTATAACAGAGACGACTTGTGGAGTTCACTTATGTGGTTGATTATTTCTTGGATTGAAGCAGCGTCTTTCTGAGTCCAAGCACAAACAACCAACTCCAGGAGGACAGAAATATATCATAACGTGTTGGCAAACGAAGGCCCACAAATCTAAACCACACAGTCATATTTAAAGTGTTTGCAGGGTTTACAAAAACAAAAATTATCTTGATAATGAGCTTAAAAAAAGGCACCGCTGCAATTTTCCATTGGACAACGCTGTTTCACAGAAAACACACTGACAATCATCTAAAAATAAGTTAGCAGCAGCCTTTATTACAAAAAAAAACTAGTTTTGTACTTTCAAAATCTGAAAAGTTATTTCAACAGAACACGGTTCGCCTAGAGTTTCATCTGTGTGTCATTTCTTTGGCAGAAACCAAACTGCTGATTTGAATAAAATTATAAGTTATTTTGAAACTGGACCGACTACATGAACCAAAAACTAGCAAACTAAATACAACAATGGTGGAAAAGCTATCTAAACAAAAAAAAGCAATTATGGATTGAGAGGGAGAAAAAAGAAAGAATGTAAACAATGTTTTTATTGAGCAAGTAAAGAAGACTTGATACTAACTGGAGTAATTTTAGGCTGATTAAAAGAGTCGATCATCAGATATTGTCCAAGATTAACCTTCAGGGTGGATATAGCTCGCTAGCAGCCTCGCACCGAGGACCTATCCACGTCATCATTTACCCAGAATGCTTTGTGTGTAAATAAAATGGCTCTGTCCATGTTAAAATATATTTTAAAAAAATGTACAAAACTAAACAGCCTACAGTATTTTTACAGTCTTTATTTTACAGTTAAAATGTATGTTTATCAAATAAAGTCTAATGTTACAACTAATCAGGGATCCCTTTAAGGCTCTGTCACACTATAACGTTTCAGACAACTTATGAAACATTTGGAGACCTCTATGCTGAAGATGGAGTTAAAAAAAATCAATTGGAAGCCTGTACTGAAATGCTAACAAATTGATCAACTTTGTAAATTTTATCAGTAATATAGTGGAATTTTTCTTTTTGATTTTTTACCTGGATTACTGAGATGCATCAGGAGAATTTGGTATAAGTTGTCTAAAACGTTATTGTTACATTTTTTAATCAAAAAGAGAGTAACTTCAGCTGTTTGCTGATCAATGAGCAGTGTTTGTATTTTATTAGCCTGAGCTGTGATGGGCAAAATAAACAACATTCAATAATACTTTAAAACAGATAATTGTTAAAAAAAATACTGGGATATAAAATGTTGGTCATACCACCAGGCATAATAGGCAGCACAAAAGGTGGAGGTTTAAAATTGTTTAATGTGAATAAAAAGAAAATAACCACCTACTAACCAACTAATTGTTTTATTATTGGTCTGACTTTGGTAGTTTTTTTTATATTATCATGTGTTAAATTAAAACATATATTTCAAAAGCAGTAACTACTCAAAATGACCATTGTCAGATACATTTTTTCCAAAATCAACTTGATAAAAAAAACTGTACAATTTACATAAAATATTCCTTTATGTCAAATAATCACGAGGAACAACTTGAGACGACTGCTGCATCAAAAACACATGATTTTTACTTCCTACTTTCATCTCAGGTTTCATTTTGCCTGGCAGCAGCTTGTGAAGAACTCCCTGTTGATGTGTGATGGAGGAGCCAACAATCAGCTATCTGTGATGCCATCAAGTGATAAAACCCTGAACTGGAAGCTGATGATGTGGAAAGAGCTTTATCTGATGACTGCAGTCCTTCAATAACGTGCTCACTTAGCATGAAATATGACCCTTTCATGTTGTTGGAATGCCACTTGGATTTAAAATCAGTTTATTGCCTTTTTGTTTGCGAAACTTTAGTGCACATTAAAATGTTTAAATATAACTCTTATCCCTTAAACTCCACTTCACTTCTAAACTATCCAAGGTATGTACACACCAAGGAGGTCCTATACAACGACTGGAGTGCATAAAGACCACGTGACCATGTGATCGGCTGGTGAAGCTAACGGCTAATGCTAAACGGGCAAGACTGGATTTCCCATTACTGTACATGTTGACACCAGAGCAGAAAACAGGACTGACGATGTAGAAATCATTAAAACTAATAATAATATTAATCCAATTATTATTAATATTTTACAGTTTATATAATCTATC